ACCCCCCGCCTTAGGTAACGCTCCCAATAAGTCTGCTGTTCGGAAAGCTAGAGACGAATGCACCTTTTCCCAGAGCGTTGACATTAAGATGTGCTAAGGTCGATATAAGCCTTAGTATGAAACAAAAATTGCGCTGCGCAGGTGTTCGCCCCTTTCGAAGAGCCTTCTACCGCGCCTATTGTTATTCGTTGGAAACGACTTTATGCATTTTTAATTTTAAAGCGAATGCTTTACCTCCCGCCTTAGGTAACGCCTCCAGAAGTCTGCTGTTCGGAAAGCTAGAGACGAATGCACCTGGTCCCAGAGCGTTGGCATTAAGATGTGCTAAGGTCGATATAAGACTTAGTATAAAGCAAAAATTGCGCTGCGCAGGTGTTCGCCCCTTTCGAAGAGCGTTCTAGCGCGCCTATTGTTACGCGTTGGAAACGACTTTATGCATTTTTATTTTTAAAGCGAATGTTTTACTCCCGCCTTAGGTAACGCCTCCAGAAGTCTGTTGTTCGGAAAGCTAGAGACGAATGCACCTGGTCCCAGAGCGTTGACATTGAGATGTGCTAAGGTCGATAGAATACTTAGTATAAAGCAAAAATTGCGATGCGCAGGTGTTCGCCCCTTTCGAAAAGCGTTCCGCCGCGCCTATTGTTACGCGTTGGAAACGACTTTACTGCCTTCCGAAAAGACGAACGAATACGCCCGTTTCCACCCGGGCGATTGGCTTTTGTGCGAATAAAGACACAGTTTCTGGTTTGCGAGTGTTTTCTTTTTATTTTACTAGTAAATCACCGCACGGTCGTAGTTGCGCACCCTCTCGATATAATATTTTGGAGTGTCGGCGTGTCTCACGACTAGTTTCCTCAGGGTTGTCCATGGACGCTCCCGGTTGAGCTGGCTTGTCAACTCGGCCACGAAAGCGTCAGTATCCACCACTTCCCAAACCCCCCTGTAGTCCAGTTCGTACATGGGGATCTTGGACGGGGGTGGTGGGGCCAACACGTCGCAGTCTTCGCCCCACTCGACGTGGTGGTTTCCCACGTAGCTGGTGATGACGCTGTGTACAAAACAGAGTATTCTCCGCAGCCCGACAGCATCCGTCCGTTTCGACGGCACGATCCGCACAAATATCAAGAGATAGTACTTTGTCACCACCAACTCAAAGACATTCAGATAATGGCACGCATTTATGATATTAATCACGTCGACTATGCGTTGATCCACAGAGTCTACGGTTGGGTTCGCGAAGGCGACCACAAAGTTCTTGATAAAACAGTTGTCATTGCAAGAGACAATGTGCCCGCACTCTATAAAATATTTCAGAACGTGCTTCGTGGCGGCGCCGAGATGTTTTGGCACATCCACATAGGGTTTAAAAAAATCGTCATACGAGAACATCTTCTGAAGATTCTCGTAGTTGGAGGCCCACTGGTCGGCGGTGGAAATTTTCTTCAGGATGGACATGGTGCTACTCTCGGGCTGGCTCGAAGCGATGTGGGGGAAGACGGCAGGGTTGACTTTACTGTAAATACAAGCAGTCGCGTCGGAGAAGCCCACGTGTTATCAGATGACGAATAAGAGTCGCTCACGTGATATCACACCATGCGTGGGCGGTATAGTGGGAGGGTAGATGAGTAGAGTATTTCGCGATTCCATTTTTTTTTCGTAGACGGCGGTAGTCTTCTGTCAAGGTTATCTCGGCACTATGTAAAAGTCATATCGGTCCCAACCGAGGTATGTGACGTAACAATAGTACTTGTTCGTGTCGACGCCGTTGCAAATGACGGCGTTTCTCAAATTCATCCACTTGCGCTCGCCGCACGAAGATGATAATTTTTCAAAATCCTGTTGTTTGTAGACGCCCTTGTACTTTAGACCCTCCACGTACTTTAGCGTCTTTGTTACGCGGTCTTCTTTGGACACGTCGTAATAATCGTACCAAATTTTATAAAATCCCGATTTGGAATTGAGGTAGCCGTTGAGTACGTAGTCGATCAGGCCCAGAGTCTTTGTAAACTTGTGACGACCGCCGTACAGTCTCTTTTTATATTCAAGTTGTAGAAAAATTTGCCGTCGGCTGTACATCATGTCGGATATTACGACGTCTCTACAGGCGTTCACAAAGTTTACGACCATCGTCATCTTGTAGCGCGTGTCGTCGTCCACGGTGGTCGTGGCCTTGAACGTAAACACCAGGACGATGTCTTTGGCGTCTACCTGTTCGCAGGGCGGATCTTGGACGTGGTGATTTTCCGCAAAGTACCGGGACACGTAGACCAGGATCGTGGGGTCTATGGAGCGGCACACGTCCAAACCGACGTCGATGTAGTCTCCGAATGCAGAAGGCGACGGCTCTGTGTCCGCCTGCCCCAAGTCTAATCGCTCGAGAACCGGTAGTTCCATTTCTTATTTACTATTACGTATCAAAGACGGGCCCTCTCTGTATACGAGAAAGGCGAGAAAAACGACAGCAAAAAACAGAAGTATTGATAAGATCCCAATGACTATCAAACCATTCTCAACGTCGGATAGCCGATCGTGCAAGTCTCGGTTATATAAGTAAATGCTCTGAAGCATGACCCTGTAGACGTTGTTGGTTTCATTAGTCATTTTTATTATTCACATACTCGCTCGAAAACAGAACGGCAAAGGCGCACAGGCAAAAGATGGGCGTCACCCAACAGACGGCCGGATAAGAGTCTGTGATTGGGTAGACGAGTTTTTCCGCTTCGTGCGGCACAAATAGCGAAGCGTCCAGTACTTGAGGCACGTGCCTGGCGAATAGTAGGTTCGTTTCCTCGACGAGTCGATTATCGATCTCGAAGGCATAGACGAACCTGTCTCCCCCTCCTCTTCGGTCGTCGTTGAGGCGAATGCTAATTTCCCGGTCGGTCAGCGGTGGATCAAACACCCGGTCTTCGTCAATAAAGAGAGACTTGCGGAAAGACTGCACGGCCGCCCTCTTGTCCGAAGGGACGTAGACCGCTTCTCTGGTGTCGGAGGCAGTGTAGGCGTCCTTGGCCGTCGGGCGCACCTTGGAATATTCCGTGTGTCTGTAACGCCCCTCGTGGAATGCGGCCTTGAGTATGTGGTGCGTCCAAATGTCCCCCATGTGTTTTTGATTAATAGAACGTACTGTAGATGCAATAGTAAATGCTATAAGTGGGTCATAAGGACCAAACGAAGTTAGGCACGAAACAATCATCAGCTCGGCTACAGGGAAGCTTTGGAAATCAGTCGACAGATGCTGCGTGGTATTTTTCGAAGGTCCTCTGGCGATGTTCGGCGGAGAAGACTGGTGCCAGCACAGCCTCTGTCGACGCAACCCGTGTTTGGAAGCGTTTTCGGTCAATGGCCATCTGCTCCCAAGATCCCTTGCGATCCACATCGTCTGCATCATGGACTTTCATAAAGGCGTCTCCGGTTTCAAAATTCACCTGGACCAAGATTGGAACACATTAAGAAAATATGTAGAGTACCACACGAAAATCGTTTGACAGTTACTACTTCAGTCAAAAGTGCCTAAGTGCGTATAAATTCGGCTCCGCTTTTTTGGAAAGCTACATGAATGAATGGATGAAGCACCTTTGAGATTCGATGCTGGGCTTGTTGGTCGGTGTCGTACTCCCGATTCCATCTGTCGTTTGCGTCGTCTACATGCGGCGAACTCGCCGCCCCGAGTCCTACGCAGTACACTTCGTTGGAGATCCTCGTCGGCCGAGATCGCACGGACCCCGAAAAAAGCTCTTTCAACAGTGGCGTCACAGAGAAGTCCGAGGGGCAGTCGGACACACTCGTTTCTTCGCCGGCGTTCACTTCGTCCCAGTCGCTACCGGTGTCGCTAATATCGTCATTCCCGCCTAGAATAAAGGCGATTGTGGCGTTAATGGGGGGTCGCGGTGACGCTAACCTTTTCTCATCAATCTCCGAGTCTGGAGGGATGTCGAGTCTTAAAATCGTTTCCTTTCCTTTTGTTGCAGAGCGGGCTATGCACCTGCCCTGGTCGGGGGGCGACTCGAGTGCTTCACCGGTTGGCTTCAACCTCGATTTCGGCGATCGCCTCCGTCGGCGTCGCTCGCACCTCCGACCGCCCGGGAACTTCGACTCCATCGACACATTCCAAAGGGCTGGGCGGCCGTAGGAACTTTGGGCGGTCGCACTTCTACAGTTTCCAAAGGGAGCGCGGCTCCTTTTTTGCTGACTCTTTCAGTCTGTAGACTTTCTGGGTTTCATTAGTCATTTTTTATTATTCGCATACTCGCTCGAGTTTTTTCGCTTCCGTGCGGCACAAATAGCGGAGTTGGAGTATTCCCTGTGTCTGTAACGCCACCCTCGTGGAATGCGGCCTTAACTATGTGGTGCGTCCAAATTTGTCCCATGCATTTTTTTATTAATAGAAGATAGTGTAGATGCAATAGTAAATGTACACCGACATGGCGGTACAGGTTATCAGGCAACAACGGGAAGTACGCACGAAACGATCGTACTCTAGTTTACCGGAGCTCTCTCGCCACATGTCTCTTGCCAGGTTTATTGTGGCTTTGAATAGCCTCGAGATTGCACATGCATATAGCACAGATACGACAAAAATCGGATAGATCAAGATGCATAGAAATTGCCACAAAGGGCCGGGTAGATCGCCGTCTTCCTTTTCTCGTATATTCTTTTCAATTTCCTTAGCAGCGGCTCGGAAGGCTCTTATATTTGCTTCAATTTCCGCGTGTCTATCTTCCTCGCTAGTGCCTTTGGTGATCAAGTAGGCTGGTTTAGTCGCCATGAGTATGCTCGAATTCTTTTTTTTGAGGTGCAATGCGGTCGAGGGTTTTTTGTCGATATATCTTTCGGATTCTTAAAAAACGCATTCCAAAGGCATGGTCAGCGTGCTGCGGTCATTTAAACACACCCAGGGGACTGGGTCTGTTTTTTTTTTTAGGCTTTCTCCCATTTTTCTGTAGCTGAATCTAGCTAGGTAATTTTTACCTCACAGGCGTATTTGCTCCTTAGTGTAATTTTTCGTAAAAAGCAGAGAAGCCCCTGTGAGCATCTCATAAGCTCGCAAAAAGCGGATTGGAATGGAAGTGGTTGGCCAGATTTTTTTTTTTACAAATAAAAGCTCATACTAAAGTTTAATACATATCCAAGACCTAATACAATTGACTGTCTCCCAATAGAACCATAGAAAAAGATAATTTTCCGATACTCGACCTTCTTTTTTTTTTGGTGTCCGTTGTTCCAGAGGGACCGACGGACAAAGATATTTATTTCCATACTACCCCCTCTCCCAATATTGGCTTTCTATTATCGCCTTAAACAGATGTGTATGTACACACCACGGGGCGTGAAAGAATAAAAACACAAGTGTTTCTTGTCGTACGATAATAAGTTTATTTAGGCCATGGCGCCACCCTTTTTGAAAATAAAGTTAATCATCATCATTTAATAATAAATTCCTCGGTTTTTGGGATCAATATAATATTTTGCAATGTCGCGATTCCGAACGACGACCCTTCGCAGCTCGGACCACTTTGTGGTCCGGTCCAGGCGAGTTCCCATCTCCGCCATCAGGTGGTCCATATCTTCTACTTGGAAGATGCCGTGGAACATCGCGGTATCCGATGGAGGTGGAGGGGCCGCGATGTCCAGGGACTCGTCCCATGCATTTTCGTCTTCGCCCACGTAGTCGGATATGACTTCGTGGGCGAAGCCGAGTACACGGGATAGTCCACTCGAGTCCACCTTCCTTGACGGCACTATTCTCAAAAACAGTACCAAATAATTTTTCGTTAGAGCAATTTCGAATACGTTCAGAAAATGCAACGAATTAAGAAAGTTAATAATTTCTACAATTCGACGATCAATCGGGTCGCCGCATGCTGAAAAGACTGCGACGACCGTCTTGAATCGCGAATTATCGTCATCTGCGATAGTATTTTTCGACTCAAGAAAATATTCGAATACTTTTTGAATTATAGTTAAAGCCAATTGAATTTTCAAATCAATATATCCTTTAAATAGGTCCCCGAAAGAACTGGCCCTTGCCGGGAAGGCGCGGCACCAGTTCCTCGTGACCTGAACCTTTTTGAGAATTGTTGCCGCCATGGTAGAGATGTGGTCCTTCTGGTGAGCCTGCGTAAGAATGGAAGGTAATGAACAAAAGAAGTGCCTTAGAAAATGAAGAGTAACTTACAGAGATGGGTCGAGGCCAAGAAGAGCTGCAACGGTGCTGTTCGGAAGCTGGGTTTAGGCGGTGGTCCTGCGTAATAATGGAAGGTAATGAAGAAAAGAGGTCGCTTACAAAATAAAGAGTAACGTACCGAGTCGGGTCCGAAGTGGCCTGGGGGTAGGTGATGGGTCGGTGAGTCTAGGGGCGGTGGGCGGTGAGTCTGGGGGCGGTGAGCGGTGCGCCTGGGGCGGTGGGCGGTGAGCCTGCGTAATAATGGAAGGTAATGAAGAAAAGAGGTAGCTTAAAAAATGAAGAGTAACGCACCGAGTCGGGTCCGAAGTGGCCTGGGGGGTATGTGGTGGGCGGTGCGCCTGGGGCGGTGGGCGGTGCGCCTGGGGCGGTGGGCGGTGCGCCTGGGGCGGTGGGCGGTGCGCCTGGGGCGGTGGGCGGTGAGCCTGTGTAATAATGGAAGGTAATGAAGAAAAGAGGTAGCTTACAAAATAAAGAGTAACTTACCGAGTCGGGTCCGAAGTGGCCTGGGGGTAGGTGGTGGTCGGTGCGCCTGGGGCGGTTTTCGGTGAGTCTGGGATGGTGGTCGGTGAGCCTGCGTAATAATGGAAGGTAATGAAGAAAAGAGGTAGCTTACAAAATAAAGAGTAACTTACCGAGTCGGGTCCGAAGTGGCCTGGGGTATTCGGTGGTCGTTGAGTCTGGGCTAGGCGAAGAGAGAGTAGTGCTGTGGGGTTCCAAGTTGGAGCTTTTATTCACTTGCGTTATCATGGGTCAACACTGATTTCTCCGAAGTAGTTATCTGTAGCCATTGAGACTTACGTCCGCACCGATATCTCCAACCTACTTATCTACCGAGGTCACGATACTCGAGCCCGCAGCGATTCTTTTTCTCCGAAATAGTTATCTATCAAGGCCATTGAGACGTAGTTTTCTACCGATACCTCCAACCCCACTTATCTACCGAGGTCACGATACTTGAGACGGTACCGATTCTTTTTCTCCAAACTAGTTATCTATCGAGACTTAGTTTTCCACTGATACCTCCAACCCCACTTATCTACCGAGGTCACGATACTTGAGACGGTACCGATTCTTTTTCTCCAAACTAGTTATCTATCGAGATTATTGAGACGCAGTTTTCCACTGATATTTCCAACCCACTTATCTACCGAGGTCACGACACTTGAGACGGTAGCGATTCTTTTTTCCCCCAAGTAGTTATCTAGCGAGCCCATTGAGACGTAGTTTTCCACTGATACCTCCGACACACTTATCTACCGAGGTCACGATACTTGAGTACAGCAGCGATTTCTTTTCCCCCAAGTAGTTATCTACCGAGCCCATTGAGACGTAGTTCCGAAGTGATATCTCCAACCTACTAGACCGCATCGATTGCCATTTTGTAGCGAGTATCGTCCTTCACGGTATTCGCGGCTTTGAAGGTAAAACACCAGACCTCGCCTTGCCTGCTCGAAATCTGATCTTAAGGATAAGACTCGCGTGAATGTAAGATCATTCCCCGCACTGTAAAAAAATCCACGAACACTCTACGTTCAATAAACATTTTTTAGATGAAACTTACCGTGTAGCGGAGGTTTCGCTGGCTTGTTGATGTGACTTCTACGGAAACCTACTCCTTTATATAATCCATTACATGAGTCACTTCGTTTAACCTTTCATCGAAAATATTCCCTACCCATTGTCCTGTCAAGGTTTCAAATTTTCTTCACTTAACCATCTGATAGCAAAAAAAAAAATTTCCTAACCATTGTCCCGTCAACTTTTCAAATTTTCTTTTTCTTACCATCTCATAGCAACGACACTACGGTTAAACATTTTCAGAAACAAAGGACAAACACCTTTCCTGTCTCTCTATACCATACAAGTCTAAAGCAACTACTTTCTTAGTAACAAAGGTTAAAAGCAACGAACGAGTGGTGTTTTGTTTTTCTCAATATAAATTATTTTATTCGGCAGTTCATCTCACAACAATACGAAGGTTAAACTTGACATCGGGGAGTGTGAATGTATCCACATGAACTCCACACCGCCGCTTCTCCAGCATTTAAAATTTTTCTTCAAAAAGTCCCCCCTAACGACAACAACACGAAGGTTAAACTTGGCATCGGGGAGTGTGAATGTATCCACATGAACTCCACACCGCCGCTTCTCCAGCATTTAAAATTTTTCTTCAAAAAGTCCCCCCTAACGACAACAACACGAAGGTTAAACTTGGCATCGGGGAGTGTGAATGTATCCACATGAACTCCACACCGCCGCTTCTCCAGCATTTAAAATTTTTCTTCAAAAAGTCCCCCCTAACGACAACAACACGAAGGTTAAACTTGGCATCGGGGAGTGTGAATGCATTTACACGAAGTCCACGTCGGTGCTTCTCCAACATGCGAATTTATAAAGCAGGACGACGTATTTTTGGCGTTTATCTGCTCTCAGGGGCCGATTTTTTTTGACGTGATGATTTTTTATCTCTTTCGGATTCGTAAGAGAACGTATTCCAGAGGCACGCCATAAGGCTCGATGCCGGGAGCCACGAAAATCTTGCGGTTCGGAATCTCGTCGATCGACCGCGCAATCGCAGCCCACGAATCCGTGGTAAAGCCGAGATAGGTCGCCGCCACCTCGGCCGAAGTGAAAACGTTCATGTCGACCAAATCTCTGGCGGTAACCGTCTGGCATTCGCGAAGTGGGTTCGTCCCCATCCGAGCCGGCGCTTCCAGGATCCATGGGTTTGGTGCGATAGAGTCGTTGCCCTTTTCTAGGTGAACGTCGAACAATTTCAGAGCAAAGGCGGAAAAGGTTTCCAGGTTTCCCATGGCCATTTCGCAAATAACGTCGCGAATCGTGGCCGGCCTCAGGGCAGATTCCCTCTCTACGTGAAAATCAAACTCGAGCTTGGAGTACCGGCCATTGCTCCTTCTCGACAAGCTCCACTCGTCGTCGCGCGAGTCGTACGTCAGGCGTAGACTATTGGTCTTGTAAGGCACGTACGTCTCGACCAAGCTATGTACACCGTCAGAGTTTCCGCGAGACATTTCCACCGCGATCGCAAACAGTCCCTGAGCCAGTCTTTCCGTCAGGACGGCACTACCCTTTGGTCTACCCTCCCCCGGGGAGAGCACGGAACGCTTGCGTCGTGGTCTCTCTTCTTCCTCTCCTTCTTCTTCTTCGTTGGAAAACACTTCCGTACAAGTCACCTTACCCTTGCTGTGAAATAAGAAATCCATAAACTCGTCGTCCCTCAAGTTTAGATTCGTGTAATCGCTACCGGACAGGAGCTCGGCTTCTTCTCTCGTAAAGTAGTTTCTGGCAAAGCGACCCAGGTAGGGCTCCACGTGCGGCAGCATCTCGAACCTGAGTCCCACCTCGACGACGGAGCGTAGACGCGCGATGGCGGTCCAGACGACGCGAGCAGCGTTCAAGGCGTCCGCTCGCGGCACCTCAAACTCGATTACGCTCAACCAGTCGGGGTAATCGGACGACGACCGGAAGGAGTACTTCAATTTTGAAAAAGTGACCTTCTTGTCTATATTTCTACTCTTGTAATAAAACGTTTGAACGTACACCTGTAAACACTTTTCTTTGAGCCAGTCGAGACGGTCCAAAGAGGCCTGGAACGCGTCGTAATCTTTTGCGCGTAAGACAGCCGCCATATTGTGACCGAGTGTGTCGACCGGTAAGAGGTGTCTAAGGAAATACACGTAGCGCGGAGGAAGTATCTGGTCGACCGCGGTCATCAACTCTTCGCGCGATTCGGGACACAGACCCACTCGCGTCGGACCCAACACTTGGACGATCACGCGGTCTGGACGCAAAAAGCCATAGTAGGTGGACATTGCACCGTGCGGGTTCCTGACGAAGGCAAACCACTCTGCTCGCGACCACGCGCGTGGATCCATTCCCCAGAACGTGCCTGTAAAGGCCACGTAAAACCGGCTGTAACGCATCCACTCGTCGTAGCGCGACGGTTTCTCGGGGTCACCCAAGGCGTAAGCACTGATCACCGCGTCGACGGCGGTCGCCCAAAAGTGTCGATTGACTTTTGCGTGCGTGTCGACGCCGTATTTCGTCAGGGTGGGTACCAGTCTCGCTATCACAAACTCGTAAAAGCTCATTAGGCGAACCGGGGTCGCAATATTTCGAATGTCGGCCGATCGCACGTCCCTCGATTTCTCGAATATATCTCTAAATACCGTACGGACACAGGAGCGCAGCAGTTTGTTTGGGCGGAAAGCGTGGTCGGCCTTCCTATTTGTTTCTGGAACGTAGGGCCAGGTGGACGCGGCCACCTTCTCCTCCAGACTAGACTCGGTGAATAGAGCGTCCACACTCAGTTCAGACACCACGTAGTCCTGGGATCTGTCGTTATCGGAAGACGCGAACCAGTTTAGGTCGTGCAGTTTGACGGCGACGCGCTGGTCGCTCAGTTCGGTGTACACGAGAATGTTGGAGTTGTCGCCTCCTCCGGGTTCCGCGTACATTAGGAATCTGTAGCAGAGGCGCAAGAGATTACCCACAAAGCCGCCCTTGTGATTGCATCGGTAGGTGGACTCGTACAGGGTGGCCATCTCGACGCCAGTAACCTTGAACCAGGTTTGAATGTCGATTATGCGACCCTTGTGTTGAAGCCACGACGAGAAGGTAAAAGGAACCGTGAGAAATGGAGCGTCCAGCGTGATTTCCTCGTCCCGGGTCGCCACGTACATGGGGTACCAGAGCAATGGGGGCCCCCTCGTTAAGCGTATTCTATCGCCGTCGCGCACCTCGCCGTCCTTGAAGGTGAAGACGGTACCCGTCACGCAGAAGGTCGGCACTTCGAGCGAGTCGAAGTAGCAAGCCCACGGAGTCGCAGCTACCGAGGTGCCCTTACAGTTAGGGCTGTAAACCACGTGAACGGCCGAAGGAGTTACGGCGTTCACTAGAAATAGCGCTAGGATCCAATCGTTTGGGGGGACTGGCGTTCCCGTAAATATTCTGAGCAAGAGAGTAAAGAAGTATACTTGGTAATGTGACTGAGGGAACCTTTCAAATACGGGGTTCTTGGCTGCCAGCTCCTGATATCGCGACCACTCTCTCATTGGAATCGACGGCACGTCGTACAGGATACGCCTGACCGCCGGCATAGAGCGGGCCTCCGTCCATTTCGTCTGATCACCGACCGTCTTGGCGACGTATTCGCTTACGTACGGTATGGCAAACGGCCGCCCCATAAAGAACTTTTCGAAAATCTTTTGCCTAACTTTAGCCTGGTCGGCGGCGAAGTCGCGCTTATCGTCGTATACCTGCCCCTGCCATATGGCTCCATCCATGTTCGCCTATTTAAAAAAAATATGAAGCCCGTATTTTTTAAATACGCGACAAACTTTGCCGTCAAACTCTCGCTCGTCGGAGCGATTGCCAATCGCGTGAAAAAGTTGAAAACGACTGTCAGGAGCTCGTTCCCCATGAAGCGGATCGTCGAGGAACTGCCAGAACTCAAACGACTCGGCATAACCAAGCTGGAGGACGTGTTGCATAGCGCCAGCGACTTGCGAATCACCACAAAGACCGGCACGAGCGTGGTGAACGCTTCCTCGTTCTTTAGAGCGTTACGCAACGGAGACGTCTCCAAACTCAAAAAGATGCTTGGAGCGACCGACGGAGTGCTCGACGAGACGCTACTTTCCAAGCTGGCCAAACAGAATAAGGCGGCAATCTTGTCCTCGGTGCACCAGGCGGCGGACTCTGTGGACGACACGCTCCGCACCCTGGCCAAGCAATCGGACAAGCTAAAAGACGCAGAAATTGTTGGGTCGCTCAACAAGGCGGGCTCCAAGGTGGACGCGTCCGTCCTCAAGAAGGCGGGCGTCAGCGACGAGGTTGTAGAGCAGTTAAAGTCCATCGAAAAAACGATCGCAAAGGGTGGGACGAAATTCAAGAGTAGGCTCTTTCTAAAATTGACCAACGTCGGACTGGTGCTCACGGCCGTAGGAGTGCCACTCGGTCTCGTTCTAAACACTCTCAAGGATGCCAACACGGGTTGTCTGCAGTACACAAAGTTTAGCGACGGCACCGTGGGCGTTTGCAGGGCCATCGAGTACACGCTCGTGCCGCTGCGCGAAAACACCTTCACAGACAGAGCGCCTATCAAGCCGTGTCAGTCTGTGCCGCTGCCCACCTTCGACGACGCCGACGCCGCCGACCGACCATCAAAGTCGACTCCCATGCCGAATCACCCCGGTTGCTCCGTGTTGTGCGACGACAAGTACCTGGTCCCCGACTCTACCGAGAGTCTCAGGCGCGATATGGGTTTAGACGACAGGGACGCGCTCGTGGCTTTCAATTCGCTTAAAATCAACCCGAACGTCACGTATAAGTGCAACAGCCCCTCCATCGCCGACATTGCCGGTGACATTGTCCTGGACGTTGCGCAAGACGTGGGGAAGTTTGGAAAAAGCGTATTAGGGGTCTTACCAACCCTGCTTAAAATAGGACTGGGGTTCGGAGCCGTATTTGGCATCATCGTGTTTATCGTTAAAGCCAAAGAAGCGTACGATTCATCGAGAGGACGACGACGACATTAGCGAGCGGTAAAGCTTTGTGCCGGCCAGCGCAGCCGCGGCCGGCACTCCGATCGCCTTGATCCAACGAATAGTCGACTGCCCCACGCGAGCGTCTCCTTCCCTGACAAAGTCTTGCGCGCTGGCCATGGACTCGTAGAGAAGACGCTCGAGGATTCTCTCGAGGTCGCTCGGCAGACGATCTTCTGCAACGACGGCGGCTGAGTTCAAGACTTCACCCATCAGACTTCCCTCGGTGACCGGCTCGTCTTTCCCCGTGATCGCTTCGCCGCGGCTGTTTACTTGTAGGGCGCTCAGATATTCGGCGACGTATCCTATAAACTCGTCCGTCTCCGAAATGTCGTTGCGAGGCAGCGGCACGTAATTTTCCGGATACACCTCCACCGGGTAGCTGGTCGTCGCAACGTCGGCGTTAGTCAGGTTAAACTTGTCGTTCTCGATGGCCTGGTCTACCATCTCAAACAGCTCGTCCATTGTGGTGGGCATGTTATTGAAGCCCCTCGGATCTATGGCGTCGTAGATTGCGCCCGCCATGCCGAGAACAAACATGACGACGGTGGCCACCGCGTTGGCCGTAGACGCGGCCGTGGCCACCGTCTTGGCGATGCCGAGGGCCATGCCCTGAGCCAATCTGACGAGTATGGTGGTGCCGACCCAGGCTCCAATTTTCTTTGCGCCATACTTTGTGGCAATCTTTTGGATTACCGCTCGGCTCGCGGCGGTCGTCATCTTGGACGCCACGTACTTGCTGATCTTTACGACGAGCCGCTTGACTCTGACCCTGGCCATGTCAAAGGCCACGTCACCCGCAACGGAAATGGGTACTGCCGTGTAAGGTACGCTCATTGCGCGTTCAAACTCCTCTTCCCACCTTTTCTGAAACATTGTACGTTTTGGTATCAAAAAAACATGAATCTTTACACGGCGGTCACAGCGGGAAATACCGCCAAGGGGTTTTTGCCGCACGGTGTCGTAGATGCGGTGGGCGACGACGACTACGGTCGGGACATATTTGTGAAGCTTTTGAAGAAGCACGTATCGGAGAGATCTCCCAACGTCTTCAAGATCATGTGTCAGGTCGGCGTAGTGCTGGCTCTGAGCACCGTCACCTACTTTGCCATCAACGACCTGATAAGCGAGATCAGAAAGACGTCTTCAAAGGACGACGGTCGGCACGAGGAATATAAAGAATAAAAAAAATGTACGAGATTGAACGCAAAGGGGGGTTGACCGTAGTGTTGAACATTGCCACCACGATTGTCTTTGGAGTGTCGTCCTACTTTGCGCTACAACGCGTGATGAATGCACAATGGGAAAAGAAGAAACAAGCGCATGTGGATACAAAGAAGTCGGAATCATAAAAAAAAACTATAATCACAATGCCCGATTGGAACAAGTTGCGCGACTCGTCCGCCTTTCACGTGTTCTGCAAAGTCGGGACGGCAGTCCTATTATCCACGCTCGCCATTTACGCCATCAGCGACGCCGTTGCGCACTCTCACGTGCTATTTACAAAAATCGGTGACGATGTCGATGCGTCGCGAAGAAAAGGAAGCGATACTTAGACGCTCGAGGGAAGAATTGGTCGCACAAATCGTTTCCAACGAACAGTTGACGGTCTATGAACGAGCCGAATTGATTGACGCTCTGTACGCAAAAATAAAGAGGGGGCGAGGTTCCAGTATTAAAAACATAGCATTCAGGGCCGCGATCTTTGCGTCTATACTCACACTCAGTGTGTATTACTTTATCAACAGGCGAGTGTTCGAAGATTTTTGGTACAAATACTTTAAATAAATAAATGGAGATTGCCAAACTGACGGAATGCGTTGGACCGACCGCCGACGACGACGAGGACGTGATACTCGACAAGATGGAGTTTAGTCTCGCGGACAGGAGCACTCGTTACGAACCGCCTATGGTCTGCGTTGCAAAGTCGGACGCGGTGGAAGAAGCGATGAAGCAGGCGACTCCTCATCCTTTTTGGAAAGACGACGCTGTGGAGGTGTTGGAAAGCATTCTCTCCATTCCGTCAAATTATAGCCAAGAGCACGTCGAGAAGGGAATCAAGGCCTTTCACAAATTCCTACTCCAGTTCACCGAATACAAGATGGGGCACGCGGGTATAGCACACTGGCTCTCTACGACAGAGTGTTTGGTTGACAGGTTTCGCGGAGGCCTCTTCACCTTTCGCGACGCCTTCTACAGCATGATCCCCGCGGTCATGTACAGGTGCATGAACATGGACGAGAGCGTGAACCAACTGCAAAGACTCCGTACGTTTTCCGGCCGAGGCAACGTGGTGATTGACGCGAGGCTCTACCCCTTTGACAACGTGTACGAGACCACCGGGGTCGCCTACGTATCCGAAGACGATTTAGACTCTCGGTGGGCCACGCGAATCAGCACGTGTAGAATCCCGTGGACGGACCAAGAAGACAATCTTTCTTGCGAAGACGCAATCTGCTCACCTAAGTACGACCCCAAGTTTTGCAGGAAGTCTCTGGTGCGTGTCGAAAGAGCATCGGATCCCTTGTCTATTATAAAATAAATGGACAAAGACATTTTTGGCCCCATTCAAATTTCTACGGCGCGACTCGCAGACTGCGTCAATGCGCCAGAGACTAGAATAGAACACGCGTCGGCGTTTCTCAACAACCAGGACGACTACGACGACGATCTCTTGTGCGGAGGCGACAACTTTCGGGCATGCGAAGGGAGAACGGTTGAGGCCGCGTGCGCAAAGTCCTCCGCGTCCCGACGCGACGCGACCGAGGGCGATTCCCAGATAAAGATTTTGAACAACTCTTCTCTGATTGACATGTTGACGGAAATGTTGAAGGTGGACACAAACTACGACGAGGAGGCTGTCAACGTGGCGCGAAGCTCTCTCATCACCTGTTTGGAAAAGATGTACAGGGAAAAGTACTCCTTTATGGGCATGGTCTCGCTCCTGTCGACCTGCGAAGGTCTGGTGGACAGACTCAGGGTGAAGACCATGGTCAGGGACGTATTCTTTAGTCTCCTATCTCAGGTGATATACAGGGCCATGAACATGGACCCCACTGTGGAAGGTTGTCGTCGCATGCGGACTTACAGCTGTAGGGGGAACGTTGTCATAGACACGCGCCTGTATCCCTACGACAACATCACCGAAACCACCGGCGTGGCGTACGTGTCGGAGGACGACCTCGATTCCAGGTTCGCAAACAGGGTCGCCGTGATTTACGCCGGCAAATACGCGAGCGATTACAAGCCCGTTCTAATAAACACCTGCCTCAAGAAAATTAAAGAGTTCAAGGTCGCAAACAAAAGCGGCGTCTCCAACCTACACAACGCCGACGGTATCGGCGCGAACGAGCACACTGTGAGAAGCATGGCCGAAAAGAGGCGGAGACGGCTCGCGGCCGTAGACATGAACAACACCATTGATTTTTAAAGTCGGTTAAAAAAACCACCCGCGTCCCGTCGTTCGTACCTATTCGACGATGTTCGCCAGAATATTGGATAAAGTCATGACCGACGTGGTCGCCAAAGAAAGCGCGAAGTGCGAATGTTTCATCGACTCCAACGACATCCAGGCCAAGGTGCAGGCCGCCGTCGAAGAGGTCATCGATAAAGTAGTCGTCGACCACGCGGCTGCTTCTGCCGCGGTCGAGAAGAGCGAGTCCTCTGCAAACAAGACTGTGCGTAAACGGGCAAAGGCAAAACCCAAGCCTACAGCTACCGCAGAGTCGTCCACCGCGACTAGTAAGCGCAAGAAAAAGGTGGCGGTAATTACCGCATCCAATAGCCCGGTTACGATCAAGCCATTGGTAGCAGAGAAGAAAAAGACTCGTGCCCCGAAGAAAGCCAAGAAACCGCCAGTCGTGCAAGCGGAGGTGTACTCGCAACCAGTAAACGATGCTGCAGAGTCGATAATAAACACCGTTTGAGACAAACGTCTACACGTCTGTATTTAAAAATAATGGAGGACCCAGTCGCCGGCGTTCATAGACCGCGAACAATGACGTTTCCGCAAGACAAGTATGGTAAAAGCGTTTATTACGTCGCGCACTACTATTCCATACGAAACCCGCTCGAAATGGAAGTTTCCAACAGTCCTTCCTCGATTTTCAGCATGTCCATCAAAGAGGCGGCCTGTATGCTCTGCGACAATTGCACAAAAAAAATATGCGTCTGCGTAGCGGCCATACTATTCACCACGGCGATCACGGCCATCCTCACTTTTTTCAACGTCAGGCATAACATCAACCTAGAACCGTCAATATAGGCTTCGAGGTGGGGGGTATGCCGAGCTGAAACTTGAGAAAAACGTAGTCTCTCCAGTAATCTCGCGACGCGTAGTCGTAGTTGGCCGGATCTCGGCCGGTTTCGTTGAATTCGTCGTACGTTATGGAGCGCAGGGGCATCTTGTATTTTTCGATCGCGGCGAGCATGCGCGGACTCTCGCTCATCGTGCACAGCAGCGACTTTCGTTGGGGGTCGGACAGGTCGTAGTCCTTCCATTCGGGCACGAGGCAGGTCCCGTGACCGGTGGGTGCGCGAGTGCATATCGTGTCCTCGCCAAAGGGTAGGTCGTAGTAGTTGGCCGTTTCGTAGTCTCGCTGCGTGCCGCTCACGCCAAAGCCAGTCAACATCTTTGTGGTCTTTTTGAGGTCTTGGCAAAAGCTACACGGGTCGACCTGAACGAACCAGTCCTCATTGGGGCCCGCGTAATAGTCTTCGGGAATCATGAGCGGTCCCTCTCCCCTGTTTAAGCGCACGGCTAGGGTTCCGCGCTTGGTTTCTATGGTCGTGCGCGACTTTACGTCCTTCGCCGCCCTGACGACGTTGTGCCTGAGGGCCACGCAGTGTGACGCTTCGCCCATAGGATACAGTCGGGTGACGTTGGGGTCGCCGCACCGACATCGCATGTCCCAACCGAGTCCCTCGGCGCTGGCGTGCGGTTGGGCTGCCAAGCCGGAGAAGCACGGATCGGGAAGGCATTGTAGCGGATGTATCGAGCTCGTCAACCGCACGGGATCTTCTTGGCTCTTGCAGTCGCAGACCACTCGCGGACTTCCGTCCGACAGGGCCTCGCGCAGTACGGACGCGTCAACGCCGCCGGCGAGCACTTCCGTCGGATCTATTCGAGTGCGCATCTTTCTGTCGAATAAATGCTTGAAAACGACTCGGTCTTCCAGAGTCCTCACTCCGCAGGCCACCTGGTCTCTGCAGGTCGGCCCGCCGAAAATGTCGGGAAACTTGCAGATGCACGAGGTGGTCAGCCGCCCTCCGTCGTAGGATATCACTTCGTAGCCCGTGAAGGGGTTGCAAAAGCTTACCGCCTTGTTCCTTATTCTGTTTATTACGTGTTCTTTGAGAATTTTCGGCATGCAGTAAACCTCGTCAAAGTCTAATTGGTTTTCGTTCCAATTAAATGCGACTTTACGGAATACGGCCACGTACTGTTCGCCGAGCGTGGAAGAGACGAGCTGCCTTATCGACGTTTTTTCAAACCCAGGCTCCTTTTCGCAGTCTATCAGCGACGTGCCCAGGCGTATGTTTTTCAGCTTGGTCGCGTCCCCCGAGAGGGCCACGGAGCCGTTCGCAAAGGCTTCGTGTAGTTTGCGGGTTTCGTAAATGTCGTCGGCGCTGGCTCGGCTCGCAAACACGTACCGATTACCACTCTGCTGGCGAGTCCGTTTGAAGCCTCTGCTAATCAGGGCCACGGAGGCCACGGCAGTGGCCGCGTTGCCGTACACGTAGTCCATCGTTTATTTTATATAAAGTATTCGTCTTCCGGTATTCCCTTTACAAACTGCAATCGCGCCTCGTGCGTGGCCTCGTCCAAGTTTACGGCCACGTTCCTGGCGTGATTTTCGAACCACAACCAGGGAGTAAGTTCCGGAGCTCTCGTCGGACAGAGGACGCGATCAATACCGTCGTGGAGTCGGGGGGAACAAATTGAGTAGCTGCTCAGGTGGCCCCTGGCCGGTCCCTTGTCGTAAAAGCCAACAAAGGTGCGGTCGCGGTCGGCGTACTTGGTCATCTCGCAGTTTCCGAGCGAGTGGTCGTAGTAGGCGGCCGCCTGCAGTTCGACCGTTTTCTTGCGAGAGCCGCAGTACGGATCGCAGGGGTCTTCGACGCACACGGGCGTTCCACTTCTATTGGCGTGCGGACAAACGTAGTCTGCGTCTTCGTTTCTGAACGCTGGGCCCGGGCACGCCACGTACCCCACCGGACACATGCAGGTGGTTTTACCGACCGCCGACGCGTAGCCGATAGCCACGTGAATCTGGTTGGCCACGACGCTCCTTCCCGGGAAGCAAGCGTCTCTCAGACAATGCGCGTTTAGTCGACTACTAGACCCGCCGAGTCTTCCGGCCACGTAGCCCGGCGGGCAGTTTTTGCACTCGAAGAGCCGAGGGTCGTGGTAGCCCGCTACGTAAGGCTCGCCGGTCTTTGAGTGCACGAAGGTGCCGCCTCGACAGCAAACCACTTTTCCGTCGTCGTCGACCAAATCCGGATATTTGGAGCGGCAGCGCCAAAAGGTGCTTTCGCCCAGCCTGTAACTCGTGAGCTGTCCATAAATTTCGGGGCACCTATTCTTGTCTCTCGCGGACGGCTCCATGTTCTTACCACCTAGGCCGCCCTCCAAGAGCTCGTTCACGTTGGCGCTGGGGACTTGGTTGCTCTCTAGGGTGGTTATTCGCTTGGTCGAACTGTACCTAAACAGTTCGTTTCTAACCCCAGCGCTAAGGTTGGAGCCAAGCAGCGGACAGTAGAGCACTTTGGACAAAGTGTCTGCCGCGTTCACCACGAAATAGGTCATTTTATTAACAGGGAAGATTGGCAATTCCCCTATTCGGCTTTCTCGAAAAAAGGCGTCCTAATCGCAATAACCAGTATCTATAGAGAATTTTTAATCCGAATAGGAGCGGCCCTTTTTTCTTTACTGTAGCTTTGAATTGTCTTCGCTTAAGGATCTGTCGATCGTACTCGTATTCAAATCCGCTTCTCAACAACATATCACAATCACCAACCTTTTAATTAAAATCGGCTCGAAAAAGAGTTTAAATCCACGTCGCACCACTAACGTGTAGTGGTTTCGCGCCAATTATCTTCCCGCTCAAATTGCGCGCCGTCCACACATGACGTGATATTACGTCAGCATATAACACGTGACCTTCTGCTCGCGTATGTAAATAAAGGAGCTCCCGGTTTCGCGCCCATTATCTTAACACGTGACCTTCTGCTCGCGTATGCAAACAAAGCGCGCCCATTATCTTAACACGTGACCTTCCGCTCGCGTATGCAAACAAAGCGCGCCCAGTATCTTTCCCGCTCAAATTGCGCCACGCGCTCCGCCCACGCATTATGTCATATTACGCGAGCGGCGCTGATTGGTCAGCTGATAACACGTGACCTTCTCATCATGTATATATAAATGAGCTCACAAGACCGGTTCTCTCTCTCTCTCGTCAGACGGCCACCTGCGAGGACGGCGCACGGAGCCGGCGATGCGTGAGTGCACCGTTTTTTTTTTTAATCACAGACTAACAAAATGTAGCTATTGTCGAGGGAACGTTGGACCATGTAGACATAATCGAGGCAACATGTTTTCACACTACATATAGGACGTAGTTTAAGCTTAGGCTAGTAGTAAATGAGCGTGCATTTTCTTTTTTGTCGCCAAGAAAAAAAAATGCTTTATTGTCTTGGCGCTAATAAAGAAAAGGCCTAACTAGGGCTCCATTTCTCTTAGCTATATTATGAGGTCTTTCTCTATATTGGATAGCTTTTTCGTGTTGCGAGGGACTTACGGTTTAGCTTTTATCGGCGTAGTTTCATTCGGGTTAGGGCTTAAAGAAACGATTTTTCCTTAGCCTTTATATGTGCGAGTTAAGATGAGGTAGGTAAATGCTCGATGCGATACGATCGGAGGATCTCGAAGTGTGCGTCGTATTTTTTGGTGGGAGGCTTTTTTTTTCCTCGGCTAGTCAGTGTAGCGATTTCTTAGGCAGGGGGTTGTTTTTGAAATCAGACTAGCTCTTCGCAACATGGAGAGATCCCGAGATTTGCTATTGCGTAGAAAAAGAGTCCAACTCTATATTTATATATTTAGCTACACGTAAACTATACACTATACACTTTCACTCCATCTACACCTACAAAACGTTTGTATTAGCCAGGCTAGCCAGTCGATCTCGGAGTTTTGGTTTTCCGACTCGATTTTTTGGGTAGCACGAGGGTTCCGCCTAGCGAGGATGTTTGCGCGTCTTTTTATAGGCACGTCGTAGCTGCGTCGATACTTTGCATTAATTGAAAAAGGAATGTGATCCATTCGAAGCCAATTTCTCTGCTCGTTTTTAACTAAACTGGCTTGGAAATTGAAGCACGGTCAGATTGGATCGCAAGTCCGCTCCACACATTGGCCACGTTTACATGGATGCGAATCGGATTCATGTAAAGTCGGCCCTTGATTAACGTATTTGTTTACTCCATCGAAGATAGGCTGTCTAGCATTTTTCTCTCTAGATGAACGCGGTGGTAGGCAGGTAAATGTCTCTCGACGCACTCTGCCAGTGCTCTCCAGCGTACGTCGTAAATCGGGGGTGGGTTAACTGTGTTAGGTAGCTTTCCATGAGGCAGGTGAAAAAAAAAAATGGGGTTAGCTTCTTCGTACGTTTTTAGTGGGGATGTATTGGAGAGTGCGTCTAACCTCGTATAGGGTCCGCCGCTTTTTGGGATAACTTAGCCCCGGTGTTTTACACGGTTAGTTCCAACCTCTAGCTTGTTACACAAATTAACGCACACCCTACACTCACATCTCCCCACTACATTGGACACTTTATTTTCTTAGTGTTTTTAGCTTAGAGGACACTCTCTCTGACGTAGGACGGTCAATGCATTTAACTGTGTCCCAATAGAGTGATGGAAAAAAGACAATTGCAAGTGTAAGTTTCTGACGCTCGACCGTTGTCATAGCATTATCTTGTTTTTGTCTTTTTCCTTGGTGTCCGTTGCTCTGGAGGGACGCTTTAAAAGGCAAACGACAACCAAAGGACCTTAGAGGATGTGCGCACGGGTTACGAATGACCACGCGTTTCAAAAACGTTGTTTATTTACTACTCTTTTTTTTCTACACACTGACCTAATTGGGGATTTTGCCGCGGCAGGTGAAAACTTTTTTTACTCTGATTTGGACCGTTAGCTGCCGCGGCATTAGGGGGATCTGTCTGTAGGGCTAGCAAACTGATGGTGAGGTAGGAGTAGGGTAGATGGGGAAAATGGTCATCGAATTGCCCGAGTGTACGTCCTACCCAAATGGCTCACTAGCTTAGAGTAGTTAGGGGCTCTGTATAGCTTGCAATTATTTTTGCGAGGCAGCGAACGTACTGCTGGTGAGAGTTGCGTTCCTAGCTATGCTAGGGTGTGTGTCTCACCTCTGGTTAGGAGTAATTTCTACTTGCCATCTACCCGTTTCTCAGCAAACGAGTGATGGTAAATGCACTACCGCCAGGAAGAGATACAAATACCACTAGTTGATTTCATGTTGAATATGCGCATAAAGTTGTCGACAAATGCCACCGGCACGCGCTCTTCTGTACGGGAGGCGATTGTGCATGTCGCATATGTCAGTAGGTTAAAAGTAACTTCTGACAATGACTAGCCCGGGGATACGTGGGACCAGTTTGACACAATGCTGTCGAATTCGTCTCTGCGTTTAACGAGAATACTTTGCTATAGTGATAGGCATATAATGACATGATTTTGACTGGGGATTTTGTTGAGACTTCAGGTGGTTAAAGGTGTCCGTTCTTAGTTTCAGAGGGTTGGGCATGTCGCACACCTTCTAATGCATTGACCGTCATTTCACGGGCAAACGGGAGCCTGAGCTGTTTTTTTGGCGCGTTAGAGAGTGTGGTGTCAGGGTTTCGCCGTTAGTCGGTTAGGTTGTGTGTATCTTTCTGTCCCCCATGTAGAGATGTATTAGCTAATTGACCGCAGTGCCCGAAGCCGTTTCTGTTTTCGACCATTGGCCCTTAATGATGTCTATAGAGAAAATTGTGTGTGCTAGCGTCGACAGGAACGTAGCATGGTCAGGGTGTTGCGGTCATTCCAACACACCAGGGGGTTGGGTGTGTGGTATAAGGTTAGGCTATCTAGACTGTGTCCCGTGTTTTCCGTAGCTGACATTAGGTAGGTAATTGCTACCCCAGAGGCGATTTTGCTCGTTGGGATAAACTCTCGTAAAAGCAGAGCCCCCTTTGAGCATCGCATAAGCGCGTGAGGGACAAAAAAAACTGGATGTGGATTGGAGTGGAGGTGGTTGGCCAGCTTTTAGCTCTTTTTTTTTACAAAATATACGACACGAAAGCGGTGTATCTCATACTGAAGTTGTTGTTAACCCAGAGGCGATTTTTGCTCGTTGGGATAAACTCTCGTAAAAGCAGAGCCCCCTTTGAGCATCGCATAAGCGCGTGAGGGACAAAAAAAACTGGATGTGGATTGGAGTGGAGGTTGTTGGCAAGCTTTTAGCTCCACGAAAGCGGTGTATCTCATACTGAAGTTTTTGTTAACCCAGAGGCGATTTTTGCTCGTTGGGATAAACTCTCGTAAAAGCAGAGCCCCCTTTGAGCATCGCATAAGCGCGTGAGGGACAAAAAAACTGGATGTGGATTGGAGTGGAGGTGGTTGGCAAGCTTTTAGCTCTTTTTTTACAAAATGTACGACACGAAAGCGGTGTATCTCATACTGAAGTTGTTGTTTAACGACGATTGTGCCCGCTTGTTGGCCATGAATGGCGTGTGCGTCTATCCCGAGACGATATGGAACACGGAGCCCCAACTTTATTGCCTCGAGTGCGGTCACAGTTATACGGACTTGCTGGGCGATTGGGGTAACTTTAAAAAGAAGTTGGCGTCAAAGATTCGAGAACACGATGCGGTCAACTCTGACTGCAGTTATCGAGAAAAGCGAATAAATAAATAAATAATTGATCTTTATTATTTTAAATGTCTTCGTCGTATTCTCCTTGTACCGTTCCTTTAAGTAAATAGGGGTTGACTGGGAAGGTGGGCTTGGGTTGCATCGATTGCACCACGTCTCGACCGATTTGGTCGTTTTCAAAGACTCTTTTAGCCTCTACCGACGTGTCGGAGTAGACGGCGCCATCTGCATAGACTGTAGAAATGGAAGGTTTGTTGCCGAGATTGGATAGGTTAATACTGTTGCCGTCTTCGGACGATGGAAAGTTCTTAACGCTGTCTACTTCGCTGGTCAGAGGAGTTTCCGTGGTGGACGATAAGGGTGGGTCCGGAGTTTTCAATTCTTCAATCGAAGTTGTCGAAATGCTGGGTGGTGGAATAAAGTCTTGTTCCAAGAGAGTCTCTGACATGTTGGATTGTTTGGGTGGTTCTACGGGCCTTTGCTGTTGTCTGGGCGGAGGACGAGGCTTCTTTGCCGGCAGGTACGTATCTTCGTTTTCTTCTCGTACAGACGATATGGGCGTGGGCGGATTAATAAAGTTTTGCCTCAACAGAGCGGGTGTGGGTGACAGGTCCATGTTGTACATGTGATTGAAGGCGCATAGACAGTAGCGCAAATTCGGAAAGGACTTTTTGAGTAGGTCGACGCAAAATTTGCGAGAGAGTTCGGACTCGCCGTACATGACTGGAACGCTCATGCCAGGTACGCTAATGTTGTTGGAGAGAAGATAGAGGGACTGGAGACTTTGACTCTGGATGTTGTTGAGAATATACTCTGCGGTAGTCGAGGGGTTGCTGTAGATGGACAGGGATCGCAGGCGCGTGGCGGTTTTGCATATTTGATTTATGATTTGAATGTATCTGTTGTCGCAGAATCTGGTTTCGCAGTAGACGGTGAGTTCTTGTAGTCGCTCGCCGCCCTTGAGGTGTTTGGTGCATATGCGCGTGAACATGTCTATGGGACACCGCACGTGAAAGGTTTGCAAGTGAGGTAGGAGCGGCGTGTCGCGCTTGAAGATGCACGAGTCGAGATACTTGCAGAGTGGCCCCCCTTCTACGACGGATATCTTGACCTTGAAAAGATTGACGAAGGGCCAGCGGTCTCGCGTGATGATAACTATGTTCGAGTCTTCTTCTACGTCGCCGCCAGCGCTATATTCGCGGTGCAACTCGTACGGCGGTATGTCTACGAAGGACGCCGAGGTCCAGGAATTTGCGTCGAGTTCTGGAGTTAGCCAGTATAGGTCGTCAGGGTGAGTGAGGCCAATGTGGGTCGTGTGGTCCGAAATGAGTTTGATTAGGGCGCAGGGCTTTTGAGTACGCGAGTCTAGAATCCTCACGATGTTGTTCCACTCGAAGGCCACGGGCGAGGTGTTTTCGTGTAGCATCGCGTACCAGCTTTCGCTTTGCAGGCTGCCGCAGCGGAGATACTCGAGCGAGGTAAACTTTTGGCTGTATTCGTGTTTTCCAAAGAAGGCGGGCACTGTAAAGTAGCCCATGTCTAGCACGCGGATGCTAGATGCGCACGTGTCTAGGTAGTTTATGTAGACGGGATCGGTGTGGCTACCCGAGATGGCAGGTATGGGGAAGTGGAGCCCCTCGACGTGCGCCTCGTTGCACTTGACGACGGCCCAGTTGAAGACTCGGTCGTTGGGTACGTCGAGTACAAAGGTGGCTGCCGACCCAAAGTAGGCTTCCGAAGGACATTCCGAGTTGTACTTTACGTACGAGACGGGCGCGTTTACGTTTCGTATCTCTACTGTGCTCGGGGCCTTGAGATGGCCCACGCGGATGCAGAGTGTGTTGGAGTCGACGGATCCGTCGCCCACCCAGGAGGAGAGGCGAAAGGCCTCGGTCATGGCTCTGCGGACGTAGACGGGCTGGAGCACGCTTTTGGTGATTTTGGCGTCGTCGACCCTGGGCTTGCACTTGTCTACAATTTCGAGGGATGCGAGTCCGTTGTTGCGCGAGGAATTTTTGGTGAGGAGATGGTAGACTAGGTTTTCCAGAAAGTAGTAGAGAACGTTGGACGCGTGGCAAAATGTTCTGTTTTCGTACTCGTTGTTGTCGAGCGTGAGTTGGGCGTGGACGATGCAGTTTCTCAAGACGGGAACGAGCACGTAGAAGAAAAATTGAAAGAGGTCCGTCTTGTAAGTGGTGGACAGTGAAAAGGCCAGGTCGACGCATCTAAAATCGAAGACTACGTCGCCGTCGGGGAGATTTTTTACGAGGCTCTGCTCGAAGGCGTCTTCGAAACCGACAAAGGCGGCCGAGTTTCTGAGCTCGCGAAGGTCACTGTAAATTCGCGAGACAAACTCTCCGTCGACGGCTACGACGGGCGGTTTTTGCTCCCATCGGTCGATGTAGGGCGACAGGATGACGTCGGGTGCCAACATTCGGCGCATCGAGTCTTCTAGGTCGGATTTGAGGAGGCCCGAGGTATCGACCACCCTACACTCGATGTGACGCTTGTCGTACTCTTCTGTTACGAACCAGCTCGGGTAGCCAATGAGCCGCCCGTGCTTGTAGACGTAACCGTCGGCCGTTATGTTACACAGAGAATGGTGCATGTTTGAATATTGCGTCCACATTATTTTCTTTATAAACGAGTTTTCTGAGCTTGTTTGGGTCGCTGGCGAGTATTCTGAGTTTGACGTACGCGAGCCCGTCTAGAATCTCGAGCAGTTGTTCGTCCGTCAATATCTGGGCGTTTTTCTTGGCGTTTTTGCGCTCGCAAAGGTGTCTGTAGGATCGACAGGTTTCCAACAACCTTCGCCTATTTTTGTAATGAACGTAATATAAACTGCAAAGGAATCCGACGCTGGACGCCAGATAGACGACGCTCCAGCGTATGCCACCACCGCTCTCGGCATTCTTTTTGGGTGGAATATATTGGTGCTTCGAACCCACCCTCTTTATACCGTCCATCGCATATTTTATCTATGGAGAGAATCAGGAGAGTAGTGGGTAACATTCGAAAGGCCTATTTACAGACTCTGGAGCCGGATGCCAACAGTAGTCTACCCTCCCTAGAGGCGTTACTGAAAACGTACGAGTATGCCACTGACGACGGCTGTATATTTTACGACGTTTCGGTAGCGGCACCCCTAGACCCCGTCGTGCACTCTACTCTGGTGTCAACCGATCGCGACCCACCCGACGCGATGGAACAGATTGCGAGCCTGCGCTACTACACTCGCAAAATGTTTAGGATCGTGCTGCACCACACGCTCGTGTTGATATCGTACTGCGACGAGGACATGCGCGTGCCCCCCAAATACGACGAGTACGTGGACGACGCTTGCGGCGTGGATTTTTTCACCGCCATGTTTTGCACCGTGATGTTTTCCTTTGCCCAAGTGGGAATCGGACTGGGTGACGTGGTGGCGCAAAACATCACCTCTCCACTCACCCAAGACTATCTGGACTCTTCGCACAATCGAGAAAAGGCCTGTAAAGATCTGATTCGCAACGTGAAGGACGGGGACCTCAAGCCCGACGAGCGCGAAGGAGACTGTGAAAACGCGATCCAGGTGTTTCGGCAGAGGGCGGCCGGTCGGTCGCGCCTGCAAGTGGACGCCCTCGATCAGGGCAAGCAGATTGTGTACACCCTGTTTAACGGCAAGAGGGTCAAGAACGGCGACTTTACTCCGGTCTACTTTCGTCTCGCGAACGAGGTCGCCGTCGACTTTAGCGGATGCGATGTGGTGGTTGAAAAGTTGTTGGACTGCGCCCTTTTGACGGAGGACGAGCAGTTGGTCTTTGTCATTCCGCAAGAGTACTTTACCAACAACCTTTGTCCTCAATTTACCCGGTGGGTCTTGAAGAACCTAGACTATATCGATCCACTGGATCACATGTCTTCGCTATTGGTATTGTGTCGAACAAACAGGCGCATCTATTCTCACCTATACAAGAGTCTAAAGAACGTGTTGGATGCCGATTCGAACAAGGATAACGTTTTATTGGCCTACATTCGTTTGTACATCAACATGCTGACGCGAGAACCAAACAAAATTGCTTCTCTGAATCGATCGTACATTGGCAAGGCGAGAGATCGCCTCTCGGCGGCCTGTTTCGAGAACCCCAAAAAGGTGCTCGTCAAGTCGGCGCTGTGCGAAGAACGCAAGAGGGGCTGGACTTCAACCAACTTTGCATTTGGTCTCGACATTTCGCACGTGGGCGTCTTGCAAAACACCAGCAAGGTCGTCGTCGTGGAGGAGGAAGAAGAGGACGACTTTGAATTTTACGACCCAAAATCTCCGTGACGATATTTGTCCCACCCCCTCCTTGCCCATCTACAATCTGGTGTATTCCAGATTCAGAACGTGCTCGCGTACGGGAAATTCCAACACGAGTTCTATGAACCAAAAGTGACAGCGCTTTTGTTTGTACAACAGGTGTTTGCTGTAGAGGAGTTCGTCCGTTTTGCAGCGGCAGTCGTCCGAATCGCAGTAGCCGAGGATCGAGTGTAGTTCAAGGACGGATGCCGTTTCCTGACACTCGGCGTACTCGTTGAGGTCAAATAGGTAACATCGGTCTTGTTCATCGTCTTGCTGCTCTGGGCGGTGCCGTTTACAGGGACAATTTCGAGAAAAGTAGACCCGTTTGTACTCTACGTGTCGAGCCGCGAGAGACTTCATGACCTCGACGAGCTCTTCGATCGGTTTCTGCAGGGGATAATAGGGGTCATCGGCTCCGTCTACCTTGAGATTGTCGAGACAGTAAGTGTAATTGACGTTGGCCATCTTTTGCTTGTGCCGCCAGTAGAAATCGTGAACGACTCGAAAGTATAGCTTGGCGTATTCGGCCTCGTTTCTGACAAAATCGTCGAGCGATACGTGCGCAGCGTACTCTTTGACGGACTGGCTAAAGTCCATCTCGGCGCAGTTTAAGTGACGGCTCGTGTCGGCGAGAGCTTCCTCCGCTTGCTCGGCTACGTTTCGAATTTCAAAGGCGTTCAGGTCTTGGAGGAGAGACACCACGTTTTCCAAGTCTCGGAAGCTTTTGCGGGGGTT